CCCCCTGCCCTGGGCAGAGCATCCCAGTGCCTGAGCACCCTCTCCGGGAGGAAGGGCTGCCTGAGACTCAACCCAAACCTCCCCTGACGCAGTTTCAGACCGTGCTCCCTCATCTTGTCATTAGTTGCCTGGGAGAAGAGCCCGACCCCACCTGACTGCACCCTCCCTTCAGGTAGAGAGTGAGAAGTTCCCCCTGAGTCTCCTCCAGGCTGTGCACCACCCTTGCTAGCAGGAAACACATGGCTTCAGGCTGTTACAAAGGGCTGCAGGAAGGAGCTGAGGAACTATAGGTGACTCCCGCTGAGCTGGACAGGGAAGTGATACTATGAGAAAGGTTGGAATCAAGCCCAGGATGAACGTAACAGGATGGGGAAGAGTTGTCTGGAGATTTTGAGGGAGGACTGAACGTCTCACAACTGAAGACACGGGAAGAAGTCCCAGGCTGTGTAGGTGTGGCTGCCATGGTGTGCTTTAATGGCCAAGATCTTCTGGCAAGATCCTTCACAGAGGTGTTTTTTTTTAAAAAATCAAAATCCTCATGGTGTAAGGTGGGAGATCCCCTTGAGGATTAGCGGCTCATTCTAAGTAAGTTAGGAATCCTAGAACCGTTCCAACCCCCTGCCCTGGGCAGGGACATCTCCCACCAGAGCAGGTCGCTCCAAGCCCCGTCCGACCTGGCCTTGGGCACTGCCAGGGAGGGGCTGTCACAGCTGCAACCTCTTACAACTAAAATGTTTTACAGTGGAGGACCACTTCTGTTCTGACTGCAGTGTTTGTGTATCCCAGAACATTTCTAACTTACTGGGGGGGCGGGGGGAGCGCCTGTTTTACTGGTGATGAAATTCTGCAAAGTAGTCAAAAACTGGGTGTGGGGGGGGAGGATGGCGTGTGCAGTGCGTGGGGGGCTGCTCGCTGGTTTTTTTTTCAGCTGCCGTGCTCAAGGTAGAGCTGTGCCAGGACTCCCCTCTGGCTGTACACACGGTGAGTACGCCCAGTGGTGCATGTCACGGCAGGAGCACACCAGGAAGAGCCTCTGGCTTAGAATCATAAAATCATAGAACAATTCAGGTTGGAAAAGACCCTTGGGATCATCGAGTCCAACCACTGACCCTACACTACAAGCTCACCCCTAAACCACATCACCCAACACCCCATCTAAGCGACACTTGAACACATCCAGGGATGGCGACTCAACCCCCTCCCCAGGCAGTCTGTTCCATTTTCCGTGAAGAATTTCTTCCTCATGTCCAGCCTAAACCTGCCCTGTTGTAACTTGCAACCATTCCCCCTGGTTCTGTCCCTAATTCCCTGTGAGAAGAGACCAGCACCAACCTCTCTACAATGTCCTTTCAAGCAACTGTAGAGCATGATGAGATCCCCCCTCAGCCTCCTCTTGGTCAACCTGAACAGACCCAGCTCCCTCAATTGCTCCTCACAAGGTCTGTTCTCCAGGCCCTTCACCAGCTTTGTTGCTGTGGGATTAGAGATGAATAAACATCGGTGTTCTCTGCTCCTGTGGCGGCAACAGCTCCCAGTGGCACCTTTCTGTGCAGGGAGAGGACTGCGGCCACCTCTCCCCGGAGCTTCTCCAGCCCTGCCGACGGGCTGTCGATGCTCTGCTGACCAGGTGCGTGATACAGGATCTCAGCAAAGAGCTCACGTGTAGAACTATCCCTCACACAAATACAGCTGTTTGTGCCCAGAGCCCTCACACCCCTGGAAAACTCGTAAAGGTAATGTCTGCACCAGGAGCCAGTTATGAAGCAGTTAAAAAAGACACCGAACTATTGCTCCGGTTCTTTGAAGCGGCAGTTCTCTGAGGAAGGCTGAATTTTGGCACGGCAGGGCTGGCAGCTCGGGCCTGGCTCCACCAGGCAACTCGCAACCGACTGAGGAAATAGTTCGACTTGCTACAGCCCCAGCCCTGCCCTGCCTGTACAGCTCGTGACTCAGCACCGGGTTTTGAACGGACCAAAAATCCACCTTTGGGCAGGAGGAAGCAATACAAACAAAAACCAGACGTTTCTCTAGGCTGTAAATTTTTTTTTTTTTTTTTAATGATGGCTGTTGGAAGTTGCTCAAAGGTTTGGGCTGTCCCAGGCCCAGAAGAGATGGCAGCGTACAGATGAGTTCGATGTGCCATGTGGCTGTGGCATTCAGCGTGTGCGTTCTACCACATCTACAGTACACACAGCAACGCACGGAGTAGCATGTGTGGGGGGTGTCTAATTGGTAGCTCCGATTTCGTTTGGTCCTTTGCGCTCCTTCACCCATCATGAGACATTGTCACTTTTCTTTTGTTGTTGTTTTCCACTACAGGTTTTGCATCTACTAGCTTCTCACTTATTTTGTAATACATGTGTAATTCCTTTTGTTGTTGTTTAAACACAATAAACAGCTCGGCTATGCAAATCAATTACGAAAGACGAAATACAGTTTGAGACCACATGTTGTGCAGTCCTAGTGGGCTTCACCAGACGTATCTGTCTATCCTGCTTCACCACAGCAACAAGTTGAGCACTAGTTAGAAATTCAGAAGGCTAACAATCTCTTCCCTTCTTCATCCTTGTAATTAGGAGTAGTTTTAGCACATCTGTGCGAAAAATCCTTCCTTGGATTTTTTTTTTTTTTTTTGATTAAAAATCCTTCCTTGGATTTTTTTGGATTAAAAACCCATCCTTGGATTTTTTTGGATTAAAAATCCATCCTTGGATTTTTTTTCTTTTTTCCGTAGCTGACATTATCTAAAGCTGTACTTTGTCTATATTAAGTGGACATTGCACTTCCATCGCACTGAATACAATTCAGTTATAGGCAGAGGGCTTAGGCTAATCGTCTGCTCCTTAGAGTGTGCAAAGCAGTTCACAGGCTTACAGGAATGGCACTTTAGTGCAGGGCTGGACTTCCCCATTACATTGCATCGCAAGAAACTCTTCTTCCACTCTTGTTTAATATGGTAGAAATACCAACATCGACCACAAAAAAGGACAAGTCTGTGGTTAGGACACAACTTCCTAACCCAGTCACAACTGTAAGAGGGATAAGCAGAAGCTACTGTTGTAGGAAGAGGCTTGTGAGAAGTTCCTAGCCAGAAATTCAGATATTTACCTAGCCTTCACCTGATTTTTATGTCTCTGTCCAACGTGGCTAGTGATGAACTCATTCTACTGTGTGGCATGCTTCCTTTGGTCCTTGCCAAATATTTGCCTGTGAAGAAGCGAGCAAAACCAAAACAAACAAAAAAAAACCCAACCAACCCCAAATTCCGAAGGCATACAACGTTTGTAACATCTACAGGGCTTGGATTTCATTTTATAAACAGGCCTGATTCTTACTGTACCTTGACTATTTCAGCAAAATATAACGACAATCTCACTCCAAAAAAAACCATTTCCACTCTCCTGGAACCCAACATACAAATTCCACAATCTAGTTATACATGCCATAGAACAACAATTCATCTTTTCCCAGCATCTTAACGGGGCAGAGCGCAGTCTACGTCTCTACACATTTCTCAGTACATTGGTAAGCATTGCTTCGTTGTTTCTTGCTGACGGGAGCCTAAAACAACATCATCTGACATTTAAATATTTCTTTCATGAATGGCTCCCAAAACAAAATTGTGTATTCTCATATAATTGGTTTTGGTTGTTTTTTTTTTAGACCCAATTATTTTGTCTTCAGAGTGTCTCAATATAGGGCTTCATGTTGCCAGCTTACGGTGTCTGGTTTGGTGCTTCTCGAGCTTCTGCTCTGCACTCCTTGACCTCTTGGAGCGCTCAGTGGTTCCTCATGCACGGTGCTGAGTGGCAGCGGTGGTTCGGTTATGAATGTACAAAACATCTGACCAGCAGGTATTGGAAAATTGTATCCAGGCAATCCCCTGGATTTCGTAATAAACTAAGAAGATCTTTTAGAATGGTTCAGCATCAGAATGTCTTCTGCTTACGATACTGAATTGTTCCTGTCCGTATGGTTCATGATCTTAATTCGTTAATGAGACAGCTATTAAAAAAATGGTTCTGTTCAGAGGTGGTTTAGCTACACTGGAGAATGCTGGGTTTAACAGGGAGCACTGGTGCAGGGAACTGAAGGAAGTTTCCCAGGTCAGTTGAAACCTGTCTTGAAGACTCCGATGTTAGCAGAGTGAGCCTGTGGAGGATGACACACCGAGACTGACGCGCGACTGAGGCAGTAAGAAGGAAAAAGGCTCCACGCTGCAAGGCTGCCTGTGTTTTTTTTCCAGTTTTCCTGCTTCTTTCGATCCCAGGCTGTCCAAAACTTGTAAGTCACTGAAGTAGTTTTGTTTGGTAGGCTTTTCAATGCATTTGTTTTTCTGTCTTTGTTTTTCTTTTTTTTTTTTTTTGTGTCCACAGTCCTCATCAGCTCAATGAGTTGAAATGTGTCATACCCACTCCTGGACAGGTCTTTTGTAATACACAACGTTTTGCTGCACCTCTTTGTTTTTAAACTGGAAGATCGTGTATACCAAGACAAGGATACACAGAGACAAAATGCAAGGGATCACCACTGCGATTGCATTTACAGTGCTAGGCACATCGTTTATTGTCACCATAATATCCACATCGTCGTGGGGCAGGCGTCTGTCTTTGCTTCGTTCGACGTCCTTCTGGTTACAGCCCATCCAGTCTTTGAGGATTGACCTGGGGTAGCCTGGCTCCACACTCAGCCTCTGGTTATCAAACTTCCAATAATCCTTCCCTTTGTAGAAGTAGGTATAAACTAGGAGAGAAAACAGAGAACACTTCTCACCACATCATTTCCAACTTGATAAGTTGTGCTTGTGTGAGGGTGTGCCTGGGCCGACAAAACACATTCGTGCGGGGCATCCCAAAACCACTGAAAAGCAAAGGGGGGTTTGGAGCCAGGATTTAAAGGACAAGCCATAACCATGGCCTGTGGGTGCATGTTGCCCACGGAGCACCATTCCCCCTGGCTAAGACAAGCTGTGCATAAAAATTTGGCCTTTGTTAAGGAGCTGTCTTGTCTCGCTGCTAATAAAAGGCTGATGGTTTATACTACATGTTACCATCTCCTCAGATTCTCTTGTCTCTCAAGGGATTGGAGGGAAAAAAAAGAGAAAAGGAGAAGGGAAGAGTGGTGAAAGCCACTGCAGGTTGGGTCTCCTGCAGCAGTCCTCCAGCCTGGCTAGCTCGCTGCAGCCCCATGGTTCAGCCCTCCAGCCCTCGCCTCACACTGCAGCCCCAAACTTAAACACGACCTCAGCAGCACAAGCCCCTTCTGCCCCTTCTTTCCCCAACTGGAAGAAGAGGAAGAAGTCAAATCAGAGAAAGAAATATGATGGAAGGAGCCTCTGGAGATCCAAACCCCTACTCAAGAGCACAGCAAACTTCAAAACCCATCAGGCAGGCTGGAGCCTGTGACAGTGACCGAACTTGCCGCAGGTAAGAAATGAGAAGGAAAATGTAAGTTAGAGCAGATCTCAGGCTGCCGGTGCTCGCAGGTGCCCGCGTGACCTTGCAGGCTTCCGTGACTCGATTCCTATCTCAGGAAATACTTGGAACACCCCACATCCAACAACCCACCTCCCAAGGTGGACGTGCCATTACCGATCTAAGGGGCAGAGGGACGGTGGATACATACAGCCTTCTTTGCTGATAAAAGCTCCCTGCGGAGCCTGCGGGATTCCTCGCCACACGGTGATGGGCTTTGGGTAGCCTGGGTCTGTTGCTCTCTTGTCCTCGTTGTACCTCCAGTACCTGTCGCCTTTGAAGAAGTAGGTTTTGCCCACCGGCTCCCAGCGCAGAGCCGTGTCGATGCCTTCCCGGGGCAGACAGCTGCCCAGCTCCACCAGGCTGTGTGGGTAGCCTGGCTCTGCCGTCACTTCTTTGAAAACCCAGTATTTATCTCCTAGAGACGAACAGGGACACAAACGACAAACGGATTTGCCTAATCAGCAGTCGAATCCATACAAATGTAAAATAGCCACAATGAACCGCAGCTGGAATATTGAGGACTTCCAGGCTTAATTGTATTATGTGAAAAAGCTGCTCCTCAGCAGCTTTTGAACCTGAAACCTGATTTTGTTTGCTGCTCCTCAGCTCTTGTTTTGGAAGCAATGTTAAATGACCCTTTCCCATTTACCTCCTCTAGGCCAGTCATGATTTCAAAGGCTCCTCTTACACCCCCTCAGGCTGAGGATTTCCTTGCAGGAGGTCAGCCTAGACTTCTTGATCATTTCTGTTGCCTTTCTCTGAGACTTCTCAATTTTTAATATGATTTATGGAACTGAGGGGCTGAAGCTGGAGACCTAAGTTCAGAAGACCAGGCACGGTGGTTTTGCGCAGGGGCGTGCTGATGTCTTCCAGCCACTCCTCCTGCCTTACCGCTTGCCCTCAGGTTACAGGAACCTGTTCATACACTGTCACAGTGCAAGGAGCTGAAGTGAATCCCAGGTTGGTCATTTTGTCTCTTTAGGAGGCAGCTGCCCAGAAATGCAGTTTGGGAGTGCCCTGTACCTGCAGAG